TTTTTTCCCTGCTATTTTCTGGAATTTTTCCCTGCTGTTTCCTGGGATTTTTTTCTCCCTGCTGCTGTTTTCTGGGATTTTTTTCCCTTCTGTTTTCTGGGATTTTTTTCCCTGCTATTTTCTGGGATTTTTTTCTCCCTGCTGCTGTTTTCTGGGATTTTTTTTCCCTGTTGTTTTCTGAGATTCTCCCTGCTGGTTTTTGGGATTTCCCTGCTGGTTTTTTGGGATTTTTTTTCCCTGCTGTTTCCTGGGATTTTTTTCTCCCTGCTGCTGTTTTCAGGGATTTTTTTCCCTGTTGTTTTCTGAGATTCTCCCTGCTGGTTTTTGGGATTTCCCTGCTGTTTTCTGGGATTTTTTTTCCCTGCTATTTTCTGGAATTTTTTCCTGCTGTTTCCTGGGATTTTTTCCTCCCTGCTGCTGTTTTTGCTGATTTTTTTTCCCTGTTGTTTTCTGGGATTTCTCTCCTTGCTGTTTCCTGGAATTTTTCCCTGCTATTTTCTAGGATTTTTCCCTGCTGTTTTCTAGGATTTTTCCCTGCTGTTTTCTGATATTCTCCCTGCTGGTTTTTGGGATTTCCCTGCTTTTTTTTTGGGATTTTTTCCCTGCTGTTTCCTGGGATTTTTCCCTGCTGTTTCCAGTCGGTTTTTTGGGATTGGGATCAGATCCCTGCCTGCTGTGCTCTGAAGGATGCTGTGACCTTCTTCCTTCTCCTCCCATCAGCCTGAGAGTGCCAGGAGCTGAATCCTTGGATCAGGAGGAGGGGGAGCCTCACCTGCAGCACCAGGACCCCAAAATGGGGTCCCCAAAGCTCAGCTTTTGTCCCCAAAGCTCAGCTTTCCCCCAGCCCTGGCTCAGGCTCCGAGCTGAGCCCAGCCTGGGGCTGGATTTGTGTCCACGCAGCGGTGACAGGGACAGGGGGGTGACAGGGACAAGGGGACACCGTGGCTTTTCCATGGCAACCACGGAGCTGCTGCTGCTGCTCTGGAGGCTCCAGGCTCTCCCTGGGCTGTTGTTGATGGAAGCAGAGCCAGGGGAGGGGGTTGAGCTCTGCCTGGGGGGGACTCACAGCCCTGAATGGAGGGAGGGGGGCTCCTGTTCCATGGGCTGGGCACCACAGCTCAGCCCCTGTCACCATGTGCCCTGTGCCAGGTGTGCCCAGCTCCTGGGGCTGCCAGGCTCTG